CCCCAACCCCCAACCCGGTCCCTGGAGCCTTTTTAGTATAGCTAAAGCACATAAGGTATCAGCTAAACGAATTACCAAAAGATGAGTGCACTAATACATGCAAATGGATGTCGTTAGCAGTTAAGAGCGTTGGAGAGAGGAAGAACATTTAAAACAGGTCCCTACTTAGCTGGGAAATGTGTTGGATAATGGTGACCCAATCACTCTGCCATAGCCTCAGGGTTTATTCATAAAACAAATGAGGGGAAGAAGAAAAAAACCTTATCTTGATCTTCCTGAAGAGCAGTAGAGAAGCATTTTGGGTATAAGTATTACAGTAAGATATTCTAAAACATGAGCAATTCCCACCCTTCCAAATATCAAAGTATTATACTCCTTTAATAGTATGTGTTGAATTTTCTATTAAGGAATACTTAATAGCTTACAAATACTTGTCGGGCAGCTTTACGCATATCATGGGGTGTAACACCATCGATAAACTGTTACCCATTTTCTTAAAAAGTAGAAATGTGGCTCAAACAGGAGTGGGAAGAATGGGGTCTCCACCGGAGGGGTGGGGGTCAAAAAAGGCAGGAAGATGACTGCGGCCATGGGACCCAAGCCACATCAAATTGCCATCTTGACTTTTTTGCTTCCTTTCAGTGGAGGCTTCTGGGTGAGCAACTTATCTGTGATTTTTTTTTTTAAGTTGGCCGATATAGAAATAAAGCCCAAATAAATCAAAATGTTGTATCCAGAAGAGAGTTATATTTTACACTTCGTATTTTTCTTGAATGGGGTAGGCAGATCACATGGTTAGGGTCAAAAGATGTTGAAAATTGTCTAAGGATACTAGGAAAGCCACATTGGCCAACTCTTCTCTGTACAGGTTTCTTTTGGAATGTGAAAAGAATACTAATTTTACGATAGTAGTCTAACTGCCGACATGGTGGTAAACGGGAGCTCGTCTGCCAGAATCTTCAAAGTTTCTTTTGCCAAAGCAAGAAAGAACTCAGTGTATCCTCCGCAGTTCTTGGGGAATTGTTTTTTCAAAAAGCAAAGTAATCACCTTAATGTTATCTGAAGTGTTGGACGCAATTATGCAGGATCAGAAGGGAGGGGAAAAAAAGGCCACAGCAGTTTGAAAGGGTTTTTTTTTTCTTTTTTAATACATTGACAATAGTCCAGAGAGAAAGAACATACAACAGCTAAAACTTCCAAACACGGTTGTTGTTTTTTAAGGCCACATTTAAAAAAAAAAAGATGAAGGACCTTAAGGCTTCTTTAAAAGGAGCAACTCACTGGATGCCATGGCATGAACGCTGAGTTGGAAATAGTCCAGATAAGATGATTTACCCATAGGGAAATCTTTCAACCAACAGCCTAAGTCTCAAGCTTTTGAAAGAACTGATATTCTCCTGCTATCCTTAAGAGCAACTTACGGATCAACGGAACACGTGATTTTCTCATCCAGCATATTCCCAGCAAAACTGAAGGTGCTAGTCTTTACAAGTGACAGGATCTCTATTTTTTTTTTTCCATCAAAGGTGATATATATATATATATATATATATTTTCCTTAATCACAAACGGAATCAAAGAACAAGCCATTTATAATATACAAATGCAGCACAACGAACTGCGCCGGATATGAAAGTGCTCTGCTATCAGAGACGCCTGTACAGTATCTTGCTGTTTATTTGGCAAGGTTTACAAATCTAATACTTAGAAGTTTTTTTTTTCTTTCTCCATCTTTTATTTATTTATTACCAAAATAGAGAAAAAGAGAGAGAGAGAGAGAGAGAGAGAGAGAGAGAATTTGCATAGATTGTACATTCAACTCAAAGAGATTTTCCCTTTTCCTCCCTCTTCCGGTTTTCTGTTCCTCAAATGAATGTAATTTTTAATTATCAGTGAGGTAGTACCTTTGGTAGCACCCGTGAGCAAAAGAAGAAAACAAAGGCAGAAACAATAAAAACAGACAGGACAGACTGAAACGGGAGTTTGTCAGCATGGGAAATGGGTAGCGTGCCTTCCTTTGTAGAGTTGTATGACCATAATGGAAACTAGCATCCAAATCATTTGGAGTGGGAAGTAATCCCTCCAACTAGTAATCCCTCCAACCAGTATCCAAGGAAGTAATTCCTCCAACTAGTATCCAAACCATTTGGAGAAAAGTACTTCCCCCCCACCCCCATCCCATTTACAGTATCTACTTTGGTCAAGAACTTTAGCTACCCAATGGCTTCCAATGGCTGGATTTTGTAAAAAATGCTTCCAAATCCAGGGAGAGCAAAGGATGAAAACATTCTTTCCTATTTCAGTGTATCCTGCTGCCATCTGATATATCCCACTTGGCGAAATCTCAACCCTTTGGCTCCCCTATAAATTGGAAACAGCATGAAGTGACAACAAAGGAGTTTCTGACTCATGTTTAGATGGGTAGAAATCAAGTCAGCCTTGTTTGACCAAGGCAGCCTTAAGGGACAACTAGTATCTGCCAGTGAGACTCCTTGCTGCTTGACAGGGCCTTCACAAACCATCTAGGGTTACCTTGTTTGCACACTCAATTCCAAGAACCTGGAAGATAGGTAAGCAGACTTCCTAAAGGTCAGTGGGGACAACCTTTGGCCCATTAGGTGTGGATAGATGACCACTCCCATCATCCCTGGCCACTGGCCATGCTGGAGCTCATGGGAACTATAAGCCAACTATCTGGAGGCCAGATCCCTCTTTTAAAAGCTTGTGTGAGACGTGCAGAGGGCAAGCATTCTTGACCACTTGGTGTGGCCTCTGGATGTGTAGGTCTGTGACCCCCAGCTGGCTGGGAAGGCATATCTGGAAGGCACTGACTGGAGTAGAGTAGACCCATATTGTACAATAGAATTTCTTAGATTTCAGCTCTGGAAAGGAATGTAAGATCCATGCAACCTTTCTGGCTCATAATCTCATGAGGAACCTTGTGTAGGCAGCAAATTCTAGATGGTAGTGACATGCAGTGAATCTCTTCTTTGCTGACATGTGAAGCAGATCATTCTGCTGAAAAGAGTTCCAATAGCCTTCCCCAACCTCTGCGCCCTCCAGATAGGTGGACTTCAACTCTCAGAATTCTCCAGCCAGCCAGCGTTGTTCTGGAAACTGAAATCCATCCATCTGGAGGATATTCAAGATTGTGGAAGTCTGGACTAAGACTAAATGAGTCCTATAGTCTCTTTCCAACTCAAAGGCTTTGACAGAATTATGATATCCCAGCCCCAGGTCGTGATGGACGGACAGCAAGGAAGTGACGTTTGCCTTCATCAGCATTCAAATCACTAAAAGTAGTTTATACTAACACCATCCTGTATACATACCTTTCTACCCTTGTAAACCACCCTCGCTTTTATTATATCCATATACTACTTCATACATCACTTTTTGTTCTTTAACCTTCTCATGCCTCTTTTCTTTCTTTTATGGATCTCAATAGCTCCATCCGGTCATGACTTTTGCAGCCTTCCCCGTCTTCTGGATCCATCCAGTCTTCCTTATGTATTTGTTCTAGCAACTCAGTCGTTATTCATTCTTTCTAGATGACCAACGCTGATCACATTGGTCACTCATTCACTTGTATTCAATTTATGTTCATTCACCACCCATTCATTCGTGTTTTACCCCACACACACATCTTAAATAGCCCATTCCCACTGCATTCAACTTACTCTCCTGACATATCCATCTGTCCATTTCCATATCACAAAGCAGTCAAAATCTTGCTTTTATACCGAATTGTGTTTTGCTTCCTTCAGCAAATATTCCTTGCAACAGATGTGCATATAAAAAACAGCATAATGGAATGTTGGGGTGACACTTATCTGTCCTTTAGAATGAGAACGATGGGCCTGCTGGGCCAAAAATAAAGATCATCTACTTGCCATCATCTGATCTTCAGGAGAGACCTAGATGTTTATCTGAGGCAGAGAAAAGCTATCTATGGAAGAAATAAGATAGATGTCTTCTAGAACACGTGTTGTCTTGTGACAGACGTGGATGGCTGAATGGACAGATGGAGACACCCATATGAAGCCCAGCAGTGGATACATTTGGTTGGATGGTTTCTGATGAAAGAGTTTTCTTCTCACTTTGAGCAACTTGAACCCTTGAGTAAAATAACTCCTGGTCTTGGGACTCCCCTGGAGGCTGGAGCAGAACTCCTAAAATCTCTGACTGTTCAGACTGGAGAAGATGCAGTTCCTACATTTGGGAGCCTCAGATTTAGTTACTCTTGTAAATATTGGGGGCAGAAGAAAGCAAAACCTGAGGAAGTGGAAAGGGAAGGAAGGAAACCGAGACCATTTTCTTTTGTTTTAAAGGCCTTTCCTCAACAAAGGCAGCTTCAGTTAGCAAGATATGATCATCTCCAAGCTGCGCAAGGAGCGCCCTAAGAGTTAGTCATTGACTAAAACACAAATAAATACCTAACATCACCTTCTCCAAGGCAGCTTTTCCTTTGTGCCAGCTAAATATTTAATGCTCTGCCTTTACGCCAGCACAGCTAACACTGTAATTTCACAAGTCCAAAGCAAACTGTAAGAGCTTTAAACCAAAGAGGACGGTGGGAAATTCATGAGCAAGCCATCCAGATTCCAGGTTTGACACCACAGGGCTCACTTTAAAAGGGAAGCCAGATTTTTTTTCTCTTGTCCCCTGGTTATCTTCGCAGCCCTTCTGCTCTTTTCATGGTCTTTAAATGTGAGCTGGGTCCAAAAGTGGAGGAAGGGGCAAAAAAGGAGAAAACCAGCTTTTGTTAAAATAACAGACTTAACCCCAGAGCTGGAGCTCCATCAGAATCCAGTGGGTATGAATTAAAGATCCAAACAAAAGTGTGTGTCTATGCACAGAAACATCTGTCTCTCTTTGTCTGGGTGCAACCTAGGCTAAAGTAATTCACTGAACATCAGTTAGGACAATGCCATTTAATTATGAATAGAATTTTGCTTTTCGCACCCTTAAGACTAAAATCCCACAGCCCCCAAACCTAAAACAGGACTCAGAGTCTGCAAAAAGTTAAAGAATAAATACAAAACTGGATTTAACGTTGAGGCTTCTTGGACTTGTCTAGGAGAAGTCTTCTTGAAACCAAGCCAGCCTTTTTCCACCTTTTTCCAGTAAACGGAATGCTATGTAAGAGCAGAAGACAGCTAATTTTTTTCCAGCTATCACTTCCCCTGTCTGAACTTTTTAAGAAGCGCTTTCTCCTCTCTTTCTGGGGCACTGAACCAAGTGTTGGGAGGAGGGTGGTGGTGGTCAAAGGAATATTTCTCTGCATCCTGCCACTCTATTGAGCATATGACATATTCTTCCTGCTGGCTGTGCATTGCAGAAATAAGAAACAGCTTGAGTTGGCTGGGGCCGTCCCATCCAGCTTTGGTTTGGCTGTGTCTGTGCAACACAATTAATCCGACTTTTGAATTAACCCATTTCTAGCTGTTCCCCAAAGATGGAATCAGAAGCTAACCAGACAGGTTGGGTGCCACCACAATTAAACCAGAAACAAATTAGCCAAGTTGAAAACTAACAAGCTTAGCATGTTATGAATTGAATCACTCGATCTGACCTGGTCAAGGATGTTGTCTGAACACAGCTCTTGAGCATTACCCATCACTAATGACTATTAGAACTGGGAGGCATAGTTATCTCTTAATTTCTGAGCCCCCTGCCAAAAGGAGGCAATGCTGAGATTTAGGTAGTCTAGTGTTGCATTGTTGACACACTCTAGAAAGAATTTCTCTGGATTTCTGGAAAACTATTTTCCAGTCTGATCTGAGGACGTGGAAGATTCAACATAGGGGTTTTTACATGCCTAAGTGACTTTCGTCCTTCAGCTAACTCCCTAGCTATGCCTGTTTCGGAAGGCAGCCATTTTGGACGGTAGTCGAGAGGGGAGAAGTCTTGTGCCATTGTTAGCTCATCTGGAAGACCAAACACCGAATCTTTGTTAGCATGAGAGGGTTAAATGGCACTCCATATTATACCATCTGTTGATTCAATATAATAACTTTGAAGGCTTAGCTAGGTGGAGTAATGACGTCAACGTTTTTGCGAGACATCAAAGGGGATGTTTGGAAAAATGAAGACAACTGGGAAAAAAAGGCAATTTTAGCATTTGTGACTGAGCTGCATTGCTAAGACTTTCAGGAAACAGTGAATAACATGGCATATAATGTGTTGGGTGTGTGAGGGAGAAATAAATTAGCTAAGAGTTGAAAATATGCTGCCCCCTGTTCAGAAACTTCAGATGTTTCATACAATGGGTTTCTCCTTTCCTGCCTCCTCCCAACCTCCAAAACCCTTGAAATGGGAAAACCGTTCAGTGAAAGAAGCTGGGATTTTCAGTCCCTTCTTGAACATCGATTTGTAGGCTTTCTTAAAGACCCCCCAGCAGCTCACCTGCGACCTGTACCAACCCCATCAAAAAATATCATGAGAGCAGAAAGCTCAGGTTCCCTTTTAAAGCCAGCAAAAGGTGTACCAGGTGCTACCTCAAACGTCCATCTGGTTTCACAGGGCCCAACTCGGACTTTGGGTCAGGACTGAGGGAACTCCAAGATGTCTGGCTGCAGGTCTGCATGACTGGACAGGAGGTCGGGCCTATACTACAGATATCGACTGCTGACCACACGCTTCCCACCAAGCTGTCTACCCAGCTCTCCAGCTTGGTCCCCGTCAACGCGGCATTCTTCTTCACCTGCTCCACTTGCCCAGTGCTGACTGGGATGTTCAGCACTGGGTTCAGCCCTTGGAAGCTCTGCTCCATGTAGGCGTTCTTCGGAGGTCCACCGTGCAGCTTTGAGGCATCTTCTAAAGGCAAGAGAGAACTATTTTTATCAAAAAATAATCTCCAGAGTAGAATAACAATACTACTGAGTTGATTTACATTTGACTGATTCTTATCCCTTCCTAGGTTCCCACAACAAGCTTCACAGCCTGGTGTCCAGATTAAGTGACTTGTTATTGATCCATTCTGTTGATATCATTGGGGTACTTACAAAGGGTTGCAGGAGGAAATAGGATCAATAGTGTATTGTATGACACATACAATAGTGTAAGCCATGGATGGGCAATTTGCAGACTGTAGGCACTCCTTCCAAGCATTCCCTGATCATGAGTCTGATTTTGGCAGTCCAATTTTTCACCTTTTGGGCATACATGGGCTGGCCTCCCATTTATTATTTTAATAAAAAATAATAATCCTGGGGCTGTAAGATACCCAAGAGTTCCAGATTGCTTACCCCGATGAAAGGAGACCCATATGGGTCCTACTCTTTAACCTAAGAGAAGCAGTGTAAAGGGATCTATCTATCTATCTATCTATCTATCTATCTATCTATCTATCTATCTATCTATCTATCGATCGAATTTATCACTGCCCATCTTGTTAAACAACTCTGGGCAGTTTACAAAACAATTAAAATCAATTAAAATTACAATAATAAATAAAAAATAGAATAAATAAAATAAAAATAAGTATACATAATTTTACTGACATTTTTAAACACAAGAATAAGACTAACACAAACTAAAATAGAGCAAAAAAAAAGAGAAAAAGGAAAAAATGAAAGAAAAAAGTGCAAAAAGAAAAAGTCTAGCAGAAAAATAGAAAAAGATATAAAGAAGTGGCTTCCAATCTTCTGTACAGCAGTTATAAGTACAATTATAAATTGACCTCTCTCTCTAAAGTTAAGTCGTGACTCTTTTCTTTCTGTAATCTATCCTATCTAATCATCAAAACCATAAATCATACATTCATTTTTTTTCTGTTTTACACAAAAAGTCCATAAGGGGTTCCAGTCACCAATAAACACAGATATTGTTTTTTCTCTAATCAAGCAAGTCAGTTTGGCCATCTCAGTGAGTTCGGTCATCTTCCCCAACCATTCCTCTGTTGTAGGTATTGCCAAATCTGTCCATCTTTGTGTGTACAATAATCTCGCTGCAGTTATCATATATAAAAACAATATTCCATGACTGAGAAGCGGTGTAAAGTTGTGGAAGCCCCACACTTCCATTCCTGCAAGTATCAAAAACGTCACCAGGAGGCCTCTGGTAGCTTCTAACACCATCTGAGCCTAGAGGTGGAGAAGCCTCTGGCCAAGAGTTCTACTAAGAGTTAGTGAAAACAAGGTTGGGGACAGCGCAAGCATTCCTCCCAGCTTAATTCTCTGGTTCAGCTCTTGCAAAAATGGGCTGAGGCCGAGAGAGGTTGTGATTCAAGACATACAGACCATCTCTAGGAGAAAATGTGCTTACTCAAAGACGGTCCCTCCTCTGCTTTGAAAGCCAGGGTGGGTTGCAGGCCAGGAATTACATCACCATTTGTCTACAATTCATGCCACGTTGCTTTGACCCTCTGGAGCTTGCTCTAATAGCAAGCTCCAATTTTCAGGAGAAGTCGACATTTTTGCATCCGTTGCAAGTCGCAAAGTCTCGTCTTCCCTGGCCTGTGTGTTCTTTCTGTTGAGCCATCCAACTAAAGCTTGATTAAAGTTCCAAATGCAGGACACCCTCATTATTTCAAGGTCATCATATATTATATACATGCTGGGGGTTCCCTCCCCTCACTGCTAATGACTGCTTCTGGTACATAATTTGTCCAATTCTGCCTTGCTTGGCCAGAGGATGATCCTCACCGGTGTGTCACTTTTTTGAAAAAGTGCACTTGTTCTTGTGTGCAATTCCCTGTAAATTTTAACTTTGGTATGTAACTTGTATCCATGCTTGAATGAAGGTTTGAAGCCACAAGCTGAGCTGCAGAAATGGAGGCAAACAGTTACTGTCTGCTGAGCATTTCTGAGAAGCAGAATTCACTGCATTCATTCAAAGGAGGATCCTGCCAAGAGAAGATCGCAAGGGTGTCTGCAGGGTGTGGTCAAAAAAGTCAAGATGCGCGACACAGATCAAAAATGGGCAGAGCTTCGATCACACCATCATGGCTATCACATCTGGATCTTTCAATCATACCCTGCGGACCGGCTGGAAGAGCAGTAAAAAAATCAAAAGTGCGCTTGGGTTATTCTCTTCTCAGCCCACCTAAAATGATCCAGTCATTTTAAAGATGTGTGATTAAGGGGGGGGAAAGAAAAAGAAGAGCTTCCTTTTAGGTAAATATACTAGGTATGCTCATTTTCAAAACTTTTCAGTATTCTTAGGCCAACGTATTTGGAAGTTCCCTTTAAATATACTAGGTATGCTCATTTTCAAAACTTTTCAGTATTCTTAGGCCAACGTATTTGGAAGTTCCCTTTAAATGTTGGACTGCGCTCACTGTAAATATGACTAATGAGAACGTGGCATCGTTGCCGAGAAATAGAGCCAATGTTTAATTTTCAAGGCTGTTTCTAGGGCAGAATATTTTATGCTCCAAGTGATGACAAAGCTGTGGTCATGCAGAGGCAGATTACATGCAAGAGAGATTTATTTTATTGATTGATTGATTGTTAAACTTGTATTACAAGTAACAATTGCAACGTTTGAGAAAAACCCACTGAGGAAGGGGGGTTAACATGTAAACTTCCTCTGCATGACCCACCTGTCTCCCCCTCGTCCCAATTTATATCCTGCATCAGTCTCGGCCAGTGTTTCTCAACCTTGGCAATTTTAAGACATGTGGACTTCAACTCCCAGAATTCCCCAGCCAGCAGGCTGGCTGGGGGAATCTGGGAGTTGAAGTCCACATGTCTTAAAATTGCCAAGGTTGAGAAACACTGGCCG